ATTAGGTGGGCTACCTCACCTTCCTTTGGGGGATGGAGAGGGCCCATGTGACAGATTCCCTCACCGGTACTGACCAGAAAATCCCTGATTGACAGGTTAAGGCTGTATTTCTGGGGGAGTTTGAAGCTTCACTTAAGTTAGGTATTAAACTCTGGTTTGGTGGCCTGACCTAGCATCAGTGACTCCATTTTGGGTCTGTGGTCTTCTTTTGTCAATCTATACTTTATTTTTTTAAATATATTTTTAACTGTATTGAAGCATAGTTGATTTCAATCTCTTTCTTTTCATCTCTGTTTTGTATTTCATTACTTTCTGCTTTTATCTTTATCTTCATTTTTCTTACTTTGGGTTTATTCTGTGGTTCTTTTTCTAATTCCCTATTCTGAATAACCATCATAAGCCTCAACCATCATAAATAACTAGGATATTGGCTGATTCTTGTCTGGGAGGCTGCTCCCACCTGGGAAGCGTTCGCCACATCCCCACATCCTGTGCCCCTGTCCCATGTTCCCTGGCTGGGACCCTCACACTCAGAACATAACTGGGAGACAGTCCCAAAGCTCCATCCCCTCTCACAGGCTCTGTTAGGCCCCTTATCAACATGGGTTGGTACAAAATACACAAAAATATTTTCCCACAGCCGACAATGTGGGTTGCTTTTTTCTTTGAGCCGTGCTGAGTTGGGAGGCCAGGAAAACATCTGTTCCTGGGTCTTCAAAGGAGAGCAGCCACTGGTGCTTTCTGGGGACTCCTCCAAAGCCAAGCCCTGCTGTCTCTAATTTTCCTACGTGGGAATTGACTGCCCCGGGTGAGACACTGACACATCATTATCTCAGCTCAAACACGTAACGGTTTTCTCTCTTCTAGGGCCAAGAGAACGCTATTCAATGTGAAGTGCAGCGGGGATAGTAATTAATTTAATGAGAGGACAAAGGGAAACTCTAAAAAAGAGATTCCCCCTCCCTCCTTTCAAATTTGGCTCCAGAGAACGTGGCCAAGTTCAACTAGTGAGTGATTCTTTCTAAAGCATCCGAGAGAAGGGGGGATTGGTCAAGTGTCCCTAAGGAAAGGAAGTCCCATTAAACCAATTAAACAGGGTTCTCCAACAGATCAAACTAGGTAAGTCTTTGCGATGGGGTGAAGAGACAGTAGAAGATAAAGAGGGAAGACAGTGTCAGAGAGAAGTGAGGAAGGCCAGAGAGAGAGAGGCTTGACTTGTCTTTACTGCTGGTACTTTGTGTCTGCAACTGCAGTAAAGCTGAGGCAGTAGACAGGAGTGCTGAAGAGCTGGGATAGTGTAGAGATGAGAGTTTTCCATTTACTAGCTATGTGATGTACATTTAAAGACTTTTGCTGCATGTATCAAATTGTCCTTCAGAATGTGTTACAAATCAATTCCACCAACACTACCCGGGAGAGTGTGCTTTTCCATGTCCGCATCCCCACACACGGTTTCTCTCTCGCTCACTCACTCTTTCTCTCTCACCTCCCACCCACACACACGCACCACTGACACACACAGTTTTGCCAAGTTGATCAGCAAAAGGTCACACCTCATGGCTGTTTTCCCTGTGTTTCCTTGAGCAGTGAGGTTGAGCATGTTTTCATATTTCTTGGCAATTTTGTTTTTACTGTAACGTGACTATTTTTGTCCTTTGCCCATTTTCCCTTCGGGATCTTTCACTTTTCCTTATTAATAGGCAAGAGCCTCTTATATATTAAGAATATTAACACTTTGATTGGCATGGAATCCTCAATTTGTGTCTTGGAGTTGATCGTTGGCCTTTTAGTTTCTTATTTGGGATTTTTCACATATAGAAATGTTTTTAAAATTTCAGTGGACAAATCTATGTGTGGTTTCCTTTATGGTTTCTTGATTGGTATTATATGTAGAAGGTCTTGCCTAAAGCAAAATTATATAAATGTTGGTCTATATCATCTTCTAGTATTTTAAATGGTTTTATTTTCCACTTTTAGATAATTCAACCGGAATGTATTTGATGTAAATTGGAGGGCATTGTTGGAATTCCCCACCTTCTACCGGTGTTCAGGATTGTTTCCGTGCTTGTGGGGTAACTTTGGGGTGATTAGATTGGAAGGTCTTTTGTCTCGATCCAGTAATTCTGGATATCACCATATCTCTGCCATCTGGAAGGGGCTCCCTGCCCCACTTCCTCTTCCCACACTGCCAGCTTCACCCAGATTCCATTCCCGAGCAAAGCACTCCTCTGCTTTCTGTGGAACTCAGACGAAGCCCCAAGCTTAGGGGTAAAACAGAAGGAGACTTCATATCGAATATTCTACATCTGTGTATTGCATCGAGGGTTTCTGCTTTCCTTGACTTTTTCTTTTTTTTAACATCTTTATTGGAGTATAATTGCTTCACAATGGTGTGTCAGTTTCTGCTTTATAACGAAGTGAATCAGTTATACATATACATATGTCCCCATATCTCTTCCCTCTTGCATCTCCCTCCCTTCCACGCTCCCTATCCCACCCCTCTAGGTGGTCACAAAGCAACGAGCTGATCTCCCTGTGCTATGAGGCTGCTTCCCACTAGCTATCTGTTTTACGTTTGGTAGTGTATATATGTCCATGTCACTCTCTCACTTTGTCACATCTTACCCTTCCCACCCCCCCGTATCCTCAAGTCATTCTCTAGTAGGTCTGCATCTTTACTCCTGTCTTGCCCCTAGGTTCTTCTGACCATATTCTTTTTCTTTTTTTTCTTTTGTTTTCTTAGATTCCATATATATGTGTTAGCACGTGGTATTTGTTTTTCTCTTTCTGACTTACTTCACTCCGTATGACAGTCTCTGGGTCCATCCACCTCACTACAAATAACTCAATTTCGTTTCTTTTTATGGCTGAGTAATATTCCATTGTATATATATGTGCCACATCTTCTTTATCCATTCATTTGTTGATGGACACTTAGGTTGCTTCCATGTCCTGGCTATTGTAAATAGAGCTGCAGTGAACATTTTGGTACATGACTCTTTTTGAATTATGGTTTTCTCAGGGTATATGCCCAGTAGTGGGATTGCTGGGTCGTATGGTAGTTCTATTTGTAGTTTTTTAGGGAACCTTCATATTGTTCTCCAGAGTGGCTGTACAAATTCACATTCCCACCAACAGTGCGAGAGGGTTCCCTTTTCTCCACACCCTCTCCAGCATTTATTGTTTGTAGACTTTTTGATGATGGCCATTCTGACCCGTGTGAGGTGATACCTCATTGTAGTTTTGATTTGCATTTCTCTAATGATTAATGATGTTGAGCATTCTTTCATGTGTTTGTTGGCAGTCTGTGTATCTTCTTTGGAGAAATGTCTATTTAGGTCTTCTGCCCATTTTTGGATTGGGTTGTTTGTTTTTGATATTGAGCTGCATGAGTTGCTTGCTCACCGTTGCCACACTTCTCCTCGTTCTAGCAGAATTTCTCAAGCTCATCTCCTAATTCACTAATTTGGCTTTCTGTAGTATTCAGTGTGCTCTTTGTTACCTCTGTTGGTGTTCCAGATTTTTTTCTTCTAAAAGTAATACAGTAAGTCCCCTACATACAAACAAGTTCCACTCCAAGAGCGCGTTCAAAGTCCAATTTGTTCCTAAGTCCAACAAAGTTAGCCTAGGTACCCAGCTAACACAATCGGCTACATAGTACTGTGCTGTAATGGGTATATAATGCTTCTCACAAAAACATACATAAAAAACAAACACAAAAAATAAAGAAAACATTTTTAATCTTACAGCACAGTGCCTTGAAAAGGACAGTAGTCCAGTACAACAGCTGGCATCCAGGGGCTGGCATCGAGTGAACAGGCAAGAAGAGTTACTGAATGGAGGAGGGAGAGGAGGTGGGAGATGGTAGAGCTGAAGGATCGTCAGCAATAGGAGATGGAGGGCGAGCTGCAATGTCACGCTCGCCTGACTTTGATGGAACCGACGTTCATATCTTTGAAAGTTCGCAACTTGAAGGTTCATACGTAGAGGACTTACTGTATATCTATTAAAAATTTCTGGGTCTTCCCGGGTGGCACGGTGGTTGAGAGTCCGCCTGCCGATGCAGGGGACACGGGTTCGTGCCCCGGTCCGGAAAGATCCCACATGCCGCGGAGCGGCTGGGCCCGTGAGCCATGGCCGCTGAGCCTGCGCGTCCGGAGCCTGTGGTCCTCAACGGGAGAGGCCACAACGGTGAGAGGCCCGCGTACCGCAAAAAAAAAAAGAAAAAAAAAAATTTCTTTTCCCTCTTCATGACTTCATTATCTTCTAGAAACCGGGAGAGGACATGAATTAGGGATTTTCTTGAATTTTCTCCTTTTTGTGGGGGGAACTCTTTTAAAAGGAAACATTCGCTGATAGCTCACTTTTTGTGTTTGTCACTTTGGCTTGAACTCCTAAATCTTTCTAATGTTTGGTTATGTTTTCTCTGCTCATTTCTTTTTTGAATATGAAATCTCCTTTTCTTTCCCCTAGAATTAATAACTAAGGTAGTTTCCTGGAGTGTGTTTCTTGTTATTAAATGGAAATGTCACCACCATAGTCACACAAGCAGAATGTGTGGGTCACTCTTCAAAGTTTGGGGGTACAGACAAGTGGATATTAGAACAGTTTAAATTCGCTGCAAAATGGGTTTGCCCCCCATCTCCAGCCAGACTGCACTTTGATTCTTTGGCTCACAATGAGATGGAAATGTCCTGGCATCAAGAGTCTGATGTTGGGGATTTCCCTGGTGGCACAGTGGTTAAGAATCTGCCTGCCAATGCAGGGGACATGGGTTCGAGCCCTGGTCTGGAAAGATCTCACATGTCGCAGAGCAACCAAGCCCATGCGCCACAACTACTGAGCCCCTGGGCCTAGAGCCCGTGCTCCGCAACAAGAGAAGCCACCGCAGTGAGAAGCCCACACACCACAACAGAGAGCAGCCCCTGCTCGCCACAACTGGAGAAAGCCCGCGCGCAGCAACGAAGACCCAACGCAGCCAAAAATAAGTAAATAAATAAATTTATTTTTTTAAAAGTCTGATGTTGGTTAAAGGATTCCACCCACCCATTTTTTCTGATTAAATGTGACACCTAAACAGTATCTCCATATTACTTGAGTTGCTTTCAGCCTTCTGCATGGGAATTGGAAAATTACAAGAGCAGATGGGAGGCCCTGCTCCCAAAATTACAACAACAAAATTACAAAATTACGACAACAGTGGGAGCTGTTGACAAATAGCAGCAGACAAATAAAATAGTGTGCCCACTGCCTAGAGCTGAAATTTGGGAACTGGGGGCCATCCCACTCCAGCAATTGAAAGTTAAGAAGGCAGAATTTGTAGCTTCATAAAGAAATTCACTCACAGCCTCCCAGAGTTTTAATGTTAACAAATCTTACTGGACAAGAACAGTAAACTAAGACACAATTCTCTGTCTAAATAGATTTAGGAAGGGGTGTTACAATCAGGGGGCAGAACATCAAATAAAACGATTTACATGTATTTTTAATCCTTCCTCAGAAGAGAGAAGGGATATACACTTTTCAGGAACCAAGGTATAAATGTATACATATTCTCTATCTGAGAAAAGAGGAAAACATTTTTTACAGAATTACTTAAACTAAATTAGCCCGGGGGGTGGGGAGGTTACATTCAAGTCTTGCTGCATCCGGTTGTCCTGTGTGACTTTACTTCCTTTGAAAATTACTTAAATCATTTGTTTATTGGTTTAGTTTGTCTCCCCCAACTAGCACTTAAGTTCTATAAGAGCAAGAGATTTTGTCTTTCTTCTTCTCTAACTGGATCCCCAGTACCTAAACTGTCTGGCACATAATAGATGGTTTGTTAATGACTGCTAAGTGAATTAATGGTGGATGGTTGGATTGATGGATTGATCAATTGATGGAAGCAGTCAAGACACTTCTTGAGGCATAGTGTGCCTTGATCTTGGCCTTTATTTATCCAAGACAAAATAAAAGTCTGGGGATATGGGTGAGAGAGGTGCATTTGTGCAGCCTGACAATAATGATTATTGGGTAATGATCCAATTCCTAGGTAAGAGCATTTTTACCTAGGGTCATTAATTCATTCACTGTATTTCTTCGGTGTTGATTTTTTTTGTCTTTACCAAGTATGTCATTTTTCTTTAACTTACAATTAATTAGCACCTCTGCATCCTTCTGTGCAGTGGCTCTCACACATGCATTGCCAGAAACTATGCTACTTTGACTGAATTAACCAGGATTCCTGCACCAAATGTTAGAATTACCCAGCCTTTTCCCACAGACAGTGGTGGTCCAGCATTGCACAGCTGTCCTTTAGAGCAAAGCCAGCACAGAGCAAGATTTCAAGGGCCACTTGTATGTCTTCCATGAGCCTTTGGGATGAGATGGAACTCCACCTTTCTTGTTAGAGGGCAGCCTTTGGTTTGGAACCTGGAACTCCAGTGGTCAGATGCAGTGGGTTGTGTCTCCAGCTTTGAACAATCACAACCATGTCAGGAGCAGCTGGTCCACAGGGACCGTACTGGAAAAAGAAAAATCTTCAAGAATCTCCCAATTTCAAATGACAGTGGGTCATCAGTTTTATTTCCCAAATCCCTGGACAATATTTTTCCATGCCCTTGAATTGGGTCATAGGTTTTTCTTTTTTTTCTGTGTTTAATTTTTATTGGAGTATAGTTGATTTACAATGTTGTATTAGTTTCAGGTGTACAGCAAAGTGAATCAGTTATACATATACATACATCCACTCTTTTTAGATTCTTTCCCCATATAGGTCATTACAGAGTATTGAGTAGAGTTCCCTGTGCTATACAGCAGGTCCTTATTAGTCATCTATTTTAGTCATGGGTTTTTTTACCTTATTCTGCCCCTCCCCTATTAGCCTTCTGGCTAATTGTTAGCGGATTATCATCAAGTGAGTCCCTCATATTTTCTGAAATAAAGGAGAAGAATACATATTGTTTTAAGTGCACATGTCTGATTGTTCTCTTCCAATTCAATCATCAAGGCAACAGTTTGGACTTGCTCCTCCGTGGGATGCGACGCAATCCCGTGAAAGGTGGGCTTCACCAGGTCTCGCTGGGCCATGGCCCCTTCACTGTCTTCACCCTCCCTGATCATGTCCACAAGAGCAGGAGGAAGTGGGGAGAGCCCATGTCTGCAAAGATTTCAGAATTTTTCAGGGTGCTGGCCTGGGATTTATAGTGCCACTTGAAGGTTTGACTCTAATTACTATTAGAGTGTGATAGATAAGGTAGGAAGGAACAGTCTCATAATTTCCATTTTTTCAGGATGAATTAAGAAATTGTATCACTTTGAAATATTATTATTATTTTTTTAATCTTTGAAGGTGATAATTCCATGACTGTTTCTGCCCAACACACAACTGGCTTGTTGGGCAGCCAGGCCCGCAACAGCAGCTACCTGTTGGCATCGTGAGTCATGGTTGGGGCAATGCCCATGGACCTCTGTAGCCCCTCTCCATCTGCCAGCCCTCCATCCTGCTCGGGTCATCTTTTCCCATGTGGACCAAGCAAGTCTACATGCTCTACTCCTAACCTATCGTTCTCAACTTGGAATGAGTCCCTGGAAGATTTGACCTTGGTTTCCAGGTCAGTTTAATTCTGGATGGCCCACATATTTTAATTTAAAATGATCAAACCATAGACATTATATATTTTTAGCATGTTTTCTTTCCTTCTACATCTGTTTCTGATTTATGATCGTTAAGCTTGGCATTAATCTAACTGTGAGTAGCAAATTCATATTAGTTGTGTTGAACAATTAATACAATGCCTTATAAACTTTATTGGAAACTCATGTGTGCTTTTTCCTTGGCTCAATTCCTATTATGTGCTCCTTTTAAGTATTATCACGGATTGTGACTCTTTATAGTCTCAGCTTGTTCCAATAGACTCTAATTACTGTTTTCATGATGTTGAAATTGTCCCTGCTTGGCCATTACGAGCCCTCCATATGTAGGCATCTTTGTCTTTTTAGCATGACCTTAGTCATCCCTGACAGTCTTTGCTCTTTGGCAAAAACGTTCCCCCCACTTTTGAATTTTGAATTTTTCTTGTCCCTATAGGCCTAGCCACAGCAACTCTTTCTGTTTTTTTTTTTTCGGTACGTGGGCCTTTCACTCACAGCAACTCTTTCTGGATCTTAATTTCTTTCAAGCCAGTGTGTACGGGAGACTAAAATATGGGCGCCTGGAGTGCATATGAGATGGTCCCACTGACTCTGTCAGCGGGCAGGGCAGAGGCAGCCTCAACCACGAGCGAAATTACAAGTATTTCCAAGACACTTGGCCACAAGTTCAAATTTGGACTGAGACTAAGATTAGGCCACAAAAGCTAGCCGTACGCAGGTCACCTACCAAATGTTTAAAGGGCACTTCTTTTAAAGAAGAGCTATTCTAGATTTTATTACTAATATTAATGTCTGGGGCTACGATAGCAGAGCAGATTAAAAACCAAACATTCTTTGGACGGTTAGAGACATATGGACCTTTGGACTGGACGGTAAATTGTAGAGGGTAGATTATGAGCACCAGTGTTTGGAGTCAGAGAGGATGTCAGCACATGGAGAAGAAGTCAGAGAGCTGGAGGATGAAGGGCCTGAAATCTAGGCCCGGAAAGGGGGGGAAGATTTTTTTTTTTTTTTTTTTTTTTTGGCGGTACGCGGTCCTCTCACTGTTGTAGCCTCTCCCGTTGCGGAGCACAGTCTCCGGACACGCAGGCCCAGAGGCCATGGCTCATGGGTCCAGCCGCTCCGCGGCACATGGTATCCTCCCTGACTGGGGCACGTACCCGCGTCCCCTGCATCGGCAGGCGGACTCTCAACCACTGTGCCACCAGGGAAGCCTGACCACAGGTCTTTGATCATGCCACCAATTCACATTAGAATCTCTTTTATCCCAATGTACTCCGAAGGGTGCCCAGCATGTTGTCTTTGTGGTTTGTCTCACACTTAAAGAAATTTAAGTGAAGTTTTTGTGTACTCCAGGAATGAAATCACTTCTTGAACCAGACCTTGAACCAGTTGCTACTAACCCACAGTAAACTGAACTCCTCTCTTTGCTATATTTACTGCGATATTCCATAGTTGGCATGAGTTCACCTTCTAGTATCTCCAACAAGAACTAAAAGCAAGAGTGAAATAGAATAAAGTATTCTTAGAATGTAAGTGGCAGAAACGTCTTCCCTAAAATAAAGCACACCGTACCTCTGGTCTTTGGATGAGGAGCATGTTTTATGCGTAAGCGGGACTCAGGGAGAGTTTGCTGGAGGAACCACCATGTTTAAAAACCAAGTGCCGGACTTCCCTGGTGGCGCAGTGGTTGAGAGTCCGCCTGCCGATACAGGGGACACGGGTTCGTGCCCCGGTCCGGGAAGATCCCACATGCCACGGAGCGGCTGGGCCAGTGTGAGCCACGGCCGCTGAGCCTGCGCGTCCGGAGCCTGTGCTCCGCAACGGGAGAGGCCGCAACAGTGAGAGGCCCGCGTACCGCCAAAAAAAAAAAAAATACAAGTGCCCTCCAAGAAATCTACATGTTGAAATGCTTTTGCCAACACAGGCACCTACAAATACAAAGACATTTTCTTTCAGAGAGTGAATAAAACAATACTTATTCTAGGAAACCAGTTACGGAGGTCTCTCTTATAACAGTATTTAAATTCTATTGGACCTTCCAAATAATTTAGATAATTAAGTACCTGGTAACCACCAACAGCTTTCACTGGAAAGGATAAGTAGATAAAAGACAGCCAGGGCTTTGAGAGACTTAAAACAAAGAAAATAAAACAAAACAAAGCACAGTGTTCTTTAGAACTGATATTGACTTAGGGGCAGGCAAGTAGGAGGAAAAGCTTAGGGCTTCTGAGCAATTCTTCAGATGATCACTCTGTCCTCATCTCTGCCACCCGGTCCCCAGCGGAGCATCTCTCTCGGGTGCCTGCGAGTTGAATTCTGATATTTGGACCTGAAGGTAAATCTTGTTTTCTTTGGGCTTTGCTCTCCTGTAGCAATCAAAAATTTAAAATCTAAGTTAAAACACATAATGGGGGACTTTCTTGGTGGTGCAGTGGTTAAGAACTCACCTGCCGGTGCAGGGGACACGGGTTTGAGCCCTGGTCTGGGAAGATTCCACACGCCGCAGAGCAACAAAGCCTGTGCGCCACAACTACTGAGCCTGCGTACCACAACTACTGAGCCCACGTGCCACAACTACTGAAGCCCGTGCGCCTAGAGCCCGTGCTCCACAGCAAGAGAAGCCACCGCAATGAGAAGCCCATGCACCACAACGAAGAGTAGCCCCCGCTCACCGCGACTAGAGAAAGCCTGTGCCCAGCAACAAAGACCTAGTGCAGCCAAAAATAAATAAATTAATTAATTAAAATTAATTAATTCAATAAAATACATAATGGCTTGATTAAGAAACTGTTGCAAAGTTGTACCCAGGAATAAGTCTCAAAAGAAGAGGTGAGAACAAGAACAGCAGGTGACAAAGAAGACAAGGGTCAGCAGAGACAGCCAGTGACCAGTTCTGGTTCTCTGCCTGTTTTGCTATGGCCTGTGTGCTAAGAACAGTTTCTTACATTTTTAAATAGTCTTCGAAAATCAAAAATAAAATATTATTTCTTGACACTTGGAAATTAGATGAAATCTAAATTTCAACATCCATAAATAAAGTTGTGCTGGAACTCACAAACCCATTCGTTTGTGTACTGTCTGTGGCTGCTTCCGTGCTGAAAGGGCAGAACTTAGCAACAGAGACAATGTCCCCGAAGCCAGAAATATTTACTCCCTGGCCCTTTAACAGGAAGAGTTTGCCAACCCTTCACATAGAGCACCTGTTGTGTTGCTGCCTCACTCCATCACCTGACAGTCAACATTCCATTTTGAAGCTGGGGACTTTGAGGGTATCTGTCATTATTTCTTTCATCTGTAGAATGGGTATGCTAATGACAGGAGCTGCCTCGTCATGTTTTGGGAGGATGGAGTGAGAAGGCACCTGAAACTCAGTGAAGCTGATGTACCATGAGCCCTCTGTTAGCTAGAGCTACCACTACTCCCATTCCCTGGCCTTGTCTCCTGGAAAGTAGGGAAGAAGGTGTCATTGAAATGATCTCTCCGGCAATAGACTGTGGCCACTATTTATGGAATTAGGATAGCGGAGAAAGCAGATAATGAAATAAGTGATGATTATACTTTGTGCAGGGCATTATCAAGAACACAGGGTGAACAGGGAGGTGTTGGGCTCAGAGCAGAGGCCCCTGGCCTCACCTGGCAGGCCAGGAATGGCTATGAAGATGGAGTGAAGGGATAAACACAACATCTTAAAATATGACAAAGTGCCTATTAACAAATTATAATGAAACATTTTAAAATCAGAGAGTCAACCTTAGCTATATATGTCTACGACTTGGGACCAAAAAGAAGCTTATTGCCAGCAATTACAAGATGTGTTTACAGTTAAAATAGAGTGTCTGTCCCTTATCAGCACTGAGAAATGCAGATTTCCTCAAAGCGAGGAGCACAGAGGGCCTGAACAGGTATCGACTGTCATTAAAAGTTCAGGTTTCCGGGTTCCCCCATTCATTTACCAAGTCAGAAACCTAGAAGGCCCAGGAGTCTGCATTCTTCTGCATACTAAGTTTGAGAGTCACTGAGGAAATCACACCATATGCAAGAATAATGGAGAGAATCTAAGATTTATTGAATACCTACTATGTGCCAGGCAATGGATTTGTCGCTATCACCTACTTTATCTCATTGAACTTTCACAGCAACCCTCTCAAGTATTATCGTGGCTATTCTTCAGGTGAGGAAATGAAGGTTATAGGGTTCCATGACATTCCCAAAGTCACTTGGCCAAGTTGGCGACCACCCCTGGACTGAACCCAGGCCTTAATGAGTCCACGGAGTCTATTCTCTACTTCCCAGGGACACGTGTGTCCTTACTGTGGGATCCAGAGAGCCGAGCCTGTAACGACCACATCATCAAATGCTTTGTCTTTCTTCCTTTCCTTTTTTTTTTTTTTTTTTTTTTTTTTGCGGTACGCGGGCCTCTCACTGCTGTGGCCTCTCCCGTTGCGGAGCAACAGGCTCTGGATGCACAGGCTCAGCGGCCATGGCTCACGGGCCCAGCCGCTCCCCAGCATGTGGGATCTTCCCGGACCGGGGCACAAACCCGTGTCCCATGCATTGGCAGGCGGACTCTCAACCACTGCACCACCAGGGAAGCCCCTTCCTTTCCTTTTTTATGGCTTTAAGGGTAGGACCTGGGACTCCATTGAGCACTTGTCCCCATCATAGGAATGAAAGTTTTAAGTCATTCTTCTTTGTGAAGAAAGTCACTAAGGAATCTGAACCAACAATTGCTAAAAAGACAGAAGATTGATTTAAAAATAGCTTCCAACCCAGAGCTGTTAACTCGGGGGGTGACCTGGGGACCTTGGTGCTCCATGTGGCCAGCATCACAGACAAATCATTCTATCTCACAGTTTAGACCAGATGATTGTCTGCCCCAGCACCCAGGGCTCACCTCCGCAGGTTCTCCGCGTCCTTGATGGTCTCTGGCAAAGCGACCCCCTTGGTCTCCGGAAGAAGCAGCGTCATTCCCCCAGCAACTAGCCCCAAAGCCGCTTCAGATGAGACAGATTTCACATGGAGCCATTAGAGCGTGGTCAATACCATTTACATATGATGACAGCTAACTAAAGAGATGCCTAGGTAACACGCGTGTGAGGGTCACTTTTAAAAAGTTGGGAACATCTAGAAAATTAAAGCAATAGAATAACTGGGGAAATGGCAGAGTAAGAAAAGGGAATATTGTCTTTGTTTTACTTCCACATAAGTATATATTTCCACAGTAACTGATGTTTAAGTATTAGGGGGATTTATTGATTCAGATACTTCAAAAACAATATGGGACTCAATTTTGACTAGTTACTATATATACAAAATACTGTATTAATTGAACATAATATAATATAGTATTTGTATATACTAACCATAATTTATATATTATCGTTTATATTCAATAACTATAATATATATTATATACAATAATTTGTTGTAATATATAATTATATAATACTTTATAACATACATTATATATAAACTATAACATTATATTACAGTTACTATATATAAATAGTATGTTACCATATATACATTTGATATGGAGCCTAGGTGATGTGTATGTGGGCAGTGTGGGCCTCTCTTGTTACTCATCGCTCCCCGTCGCCCCTTGTGGGTTCGCCTGGGCCCAGGCATGGCAACTCTCTACATGGGCAGCCGTTTTGCCCTCCACCGAGTGGTAGGTTTGGGAAGAGGTGGGAGAGTCCCCTCCTCCTTCTCTAACCCAATATAATCAGTAACAAAGCTGATACTAAACTTTGATTCCCATTTGTCCCCCTGTGTCTGCTGTCAATTGTTAAGATCTGGAAGCAGAAGAGGGATGATAATCTAGCATCTTCAAACCTCTAGCAATTACATGCTAAATGCACAAAAATTGGGAGTCAAATTCGTAAGAAACCAGGAGGCTATGTCAAATATTCTCTCTGATTCTATTCCATAGAATGAATTATTGGACTCCAGAGCCGTAGGACATAAACCTCTGGCCCCCACCTTCTAGGAACAGCATCTTATCTTCCCCGTGAGGCAAGACAGAGTGAACCTGGAGCCAGTGAAAGAGCAGGCGCCATCCTTCCCTTCTGTACACTCGCTGGGGGGTACCATTTGCTCATCAAATAGTTCTCGAGTATTCACACTGAGCTGGAAACAAGGAATGATAAATGTTTCACGAAGTCTTACCAAACAAAACGAGTGGTAAGCCTTGCCAAACCTCCATCAGCCTGAAGACCAGGAAGGGGGTGATGACCCCACCCAAGTCACACAGGGAGGAACACACCATCACTCCAAGGTTCCTGATAAAATACAGATAACAAAAAAGATGACATCTCTGTGAATCCATTTTCCAAATGGTAAACTTGTTTTAAAGCAAACACACCATTCCCGAACCTCCAGGAAGGGGAGAGGGGCTGGAGATGGAGTTAATCACTGATGATTTAATCAATCACACCTACATAATGTGCCGAGAGGGTGGCACACCCCAACTCCACAGGGATAGAAGCACCTGTGCTCAGGACCCTTCCAGACCTTGCCCTGTGTACCTCTTCATCTGGCTGCTTCTATCCTTTATAATAAACCAGTAAATGTAAGTGCTTCCCTGAGTTCTGTGAGCCATTACAGTAAATTACTGAACTCAGGGAGGGGCTCATGGGAATCTGATTTATAGCCGGTGGTCAGAAGTGTAGGTGTACAATGCGGGGCTTGCAACTAGCATCTAAAGTAAGGGCAGTCATGTGGGACGAAGCCTTAACCTGTGAAGTCTGCACTAATTCCAGGTAGTTAATGTCAGAATTGGATTGTAAGAATTGTTTGGAGATTGGAGAATTGGTTGGTGTCATTAGAGTTCTTTCTTTCACATAGAGGGACAGGGAAGGATAAAGAGAGGATATTAAGAAATGGAGGACAAAGAAAGCCAGAGGGGAAATGTAAGGAAACTGTCTACTTGAAATGACCTCCCTCTTCATCCCTGACAATAGTCTTTGCTCTGAAATCTACTCTGTCTTATAGGAATATAGCCACTCTGGCTTTCTTTTTATTAGTGTTCACATGGAATATCTTTTTCCATACTTCTACTTTTAAACTATCTCTGCCCTTAAATTTAAAGTTAGTTTCGTGTAGACAGCATACAGCTGGGTCTTTTTTTTGCCAACCTGATATCATTTTCCTTATCTCTGAAAGACTTTTACATTTCTTGTAGTACAGGTCTGCTTGTGACGAATTTGTTCAGCTTTTATATATCTGAAAAAGGTTTTATTTTCCATCCATTTTTTGAAAGTTTATTTTTTGATGAGTCAAGAATTCTAGGTTGACAGTTTTTCTTTCAGTACATCAAAGATGTTGTTCTACCACCTTCTTGTTTGCATTGTTCCCAATGAGAAATCTACTGTCCTTATCATCTTTGTTCCTTTTTCTGATGTCTTTTTTCTCTGACTGCTTTTTAAGGTTTTTGTGATGTGCCTTTCTTGATGTTGTGTGTGTGTGTTCTGGGTTTGTTCTGTTACACGGCATATGCCACTTCAAATTATAAATCCAAGCATTCTTTTATTTTCAGACATTTTCTTCAAGTTTTTTTTTTTTTCTTGAAGTTCTTTTGTTTCATTATTTCAATTATCTTCTGGGGAACATATGTTTAAACATGATCTCTAAGCCTTTTAAATTCTGCTTATTTCAATCTTATTTGCAATTCTTAGGCCTGTCTTGCCTTTACTATATCAGTTCTCCTTTGTAATGCTTTCAAAGTAGTTTTCATTTGTCAAATATTTTAATTTTTCTTTTTGTTTTTTTTCAGCCTGAGTCGACTTCATCTATTGTCTTATCACATGGTCTCCCAAGAACTTGCATCTCTGCTTTACACTTTTTTTTTTTTTTTTTTTTGCGGTACGCTGGCCTCTCAATGTTGTGGCCTCTCCCTGTTGTGGCCTCTCCCATTGCGGGGCACAGGCTCCGGACGCGCAGGCTCAGCGGCCATGGCTCACGGGCCCAGCCGCTCCGCGGCATGAGCGATCTTCCCAGACCGGGGCACGAACCCGCGTCCCCTGCATCGGCAGGCGGACTCTCAGTCACTGCGCCACCAGGGAAGCCCTACACTCTTACTTTATAGAGATGATTGATTCATTAATATTTTGCATTTAGCTGTAGTATATTTGGCCACACTTTTTATTTGCTTTCTGACAATATTTTTCCCTGTGCATTTTCTTCATTTGCCATTTGCTTTTCCTCTCCCTTTCCGCCTTTCATCTCATGATATATTTGTATAGCTCCTGGGCAAGTTACTTTTTAATTTATTCTTCTTCTTTCAATACTATGATTTCTTTCTGTATCAGCTATTTTAGAAGGATTTGTGGGGAGGGGCACGTTCTAGGCTACTAGAAGTTTTCTTTCTGACCAGGGTTGTCTGTGATTAGACAGTCTACAGGGGCTGACAGTACAGGACTTCTCACCCTTCAGGGTCTCTCTCTTCCACCCCACCTCACAGCACACTGCTCCCTCAAAAGTTCCTGAATGCTCTCCCACAGCCTTGCCCTCCCTGGCTCATCTCCAGCCACACAACACCCAGGGGAGGAGGCATATGCCCCCAGCCCTGCATCCTCCCTGTTATTGCAACAAGGGTTTGTGGGTTAGACCCTTCAATGTACACTTCCTACTTTGGAAAACCACTGGCCTTGTCTCAAATTTGCTGTCACAGTGAGCTTCCCTGGAGTCTTCCAGACCCTCTTAGACTCACTGCATTAGGCAGCCCTTCTTGTTCACTATTGTCTTTCAGGGTCATCCTAGTTTCAAAAATGGCATTTGCATTTTTTTCCTTCTGTTTCTCATTCTTCTAATAGCATTAGTGTGATTTCCAAGAGGAGGAAATAAAGACACCATTATTTTTTTTTACAATTTTAAAAAATAAGTCTTAAAAAGAGAGAAAAATTTGATAAGCACACAGACGCTAGACGAAGTGAAGAACTAGGCCCCTTCTTTAAAGCTCATACATCTGTGATACTTCATTCGTTCATTCTACAAGCACCAGGTGACTGGTTAGTATAGCTATAGAACAGTGTCAGGAGGTACAGAGAGGTATGACATGTAGTTCCTGCTTTCAAGGAGCTCATAATATAGTGATGAGGTAAAAGCAGGAGGATGATTTTCAATACTGATGCCAAAAGAATGTTCTTGACAATATATGTTGCAGACAGTTAGAAGGAGGATGCCGTTCAACTCTAAAGCCTCCCATGAATAAGAAGCAGGGTCAAAATGGTTTAACTAGAAACTGTTTGCACTTGAACTGTTTGTAAATTAATAATCCCTTTTTTCCAATTTCAATTTGATTCAATTGATTGAAAATATCAAAACTTTCATGACTGCCTTACTTTTGTGTGTGGTGTGTGTGGACCAAGTTTAAGTTATTTCTGAACACCTGGCCTCGCTTCCTAATTACTGAGAATCCTCATCAAACTGACTCCCTGCACAAACAGTCAAGGGCTCCTTGAGGACATGTCACTTGGCCTTCTTCCACCCAGCGCCAGGCACTCAGAACCTTCGGTAGTTTACATTCTGAGTCAGTCCCCTGGGTCCAGTGGCCATGACAATGGAATTGTTTGGCCCAGCTATTTTAGACTCGGCTCAGAACTGCCAGATGTAGGTTTTTCTCTTTCATTTGTCTTCGTCTCTTTGTACTCATTCCAAGCAACCTTTTCCAGATGAGAATATGAGAGAGGGCCTTTTAACGAAGGGATGGGCAGGAGAGAGGAAAGAGTGAATCAGAGTCACCCTTGTGTCTTCTGGCGTAGGGAGGGGTTCTGAGAGCTGTCCCGCTGTAAGAGGGGGATATGGGGAGCTGGAATATTTCTTAGGCTTCACTGGTCTGATGACATGGGGAGAGGAAACAATTTATATAGAGGAAAAACGAGTTTAAGGAAATCTGCCAAATTCTAACAAAGGTCAGAATTAAAGCTTTAAATAAAGTGGTTAATTACTTTTACAATAAAAATGCTCTTCATTTGGGGCTTCCCTGGTGGCGCAGTGGTTGAGAGTCCGCCTGCCGATGCAGGGGACGCGGGTTCGTGCCCCGGTCCGGGAGGATCCCACATGCCGCGGAGCGGCTGGGCCCGTGAGCCATGGCCGCTGAGCCTGCGCGTCCGGAGCCTGTGCTCCGCAACGGTGGACATTCCTAAAACCCGCCGGACTTTCTGTAAGAAGTGTGGCAAGCACCAACCCCACAAAGTGACACAGTACAAAAAGGGCAAGGATTCTCTGTATGCCCAGGGAAAGCGGCGGTATGACAGGAAGCAGAGTGGCTATGGTGGGCCGACTAAGTCGATTTTCCGGAAAAAGGCTAAAACTACAAAGAACATTGTGCTGAGGCTTGAACGTGTTGAGCGGAACTGCAGATCTAAGAGGATGCTGGCTATTAAGAGATGCAGGCATTTTGAGCTGGGAGGAGATAAGAAAGGGCCAAGTGATCCAGTTCTGAGCTTCATGTTTTGTTTTGTTATGAAGACAATAAAAATTTGAGATTGTTTACTTCGTTTAGTCTCAATTGTTTATTTAGTTATTTATTTTGGAAGGGAAATAAACTAGTGCCATCAATAAAATTCTCCTCGGGGAAAAAAAGAAGTCACAATAATACCACCATTTCCAAGAATTATTTGTTTTTTTAAAAGCTGGCAACACCAAGGACTGGTGAGGGTGTAGAACGACCAGCTCTCTCACGCGCAGCTGGTGGAACAGAAAATGGTGCGGCCACTTTGAAAAACATTCGGACGGTTTCTCATGACTTTAAACTCGCATCCAGCACGTGACCCACAAAGCAACAACGACTGAGATTACCAAACACGAAACACTCATACTACGTCATAACATTGACATTCAGTCCAGGAATCCTCCACTGTAACCGCTCTTTTACTTTGCTGTGAAAATTGATTTGTATATTTTTTGCCTCTGAGTCCTTGTGGGATTTTTTTTTTATTCAAACAGAAAGTCACAAAACTTATAATCACCCTCATCAGTTCACTCAGCCCCACGTAATTATTCACTCCTAAGTTTTTACCTAAGAGAAATGAAGACATATGTCCACTCAAAGACCTGTATGTGAATTCTTATTGGCAGCTGTATCGTAATTACCCCAATCTGGAAAGAGCCCAAACCTCCATGAGCTGGGAAATGGACAGACACGTCGTGGCACATCTTCCACACACGGGACACTACTCAGCAATAAGAAGGAACGAAGCACTGATACACGCCACAGCGTGGATGGGTCCCGTGATGCCAAGTGAAAGAAGCCAAACACGATAGGCTACACGCTATGTTATTTCATTTATGTAACATTCCGGAAAAGGCAAAACCACAGGGAGAGAAATCAGACCAGTGGTTGCCAGGTACTGGAGGTGGGAGGGGAGAAGATGGCCCACAAAGGGATATGAGGAAGCATTTGGAGGTGATGGAAATGTCTCTGTATTACTTTGACTGTGATGGTGGTGAAACGAGTATAATCAACACTAATCAAACTGTACCTTTTAGGGGGAATTTTGCTCTAAGAAAATTCTACTTCAACAAACCTGACTTTAAACAATGAGTCATCTAGGCCTGTTGCTATGTTTACAGAGTCATCATGGGAAAAACATCAGCTTCAAGGTCAGAAAGAAGCGGGTTCTTGGTTACCAAGAGGGTGAGGGGGTGGGGGAAGGATAGACTGGGAGTTTGGGATTAGCAGATGCAAACTATTGTATATAGAATGGATAAACAGCAAGGTCCTGCTGTAGAGCACAGGGAGCTATATTCAGTATACTGTGATAAACCATAATGGAGAAGAATATGAAAAAGAACGTATGTATGTATAACTGAATCACTTTGCTGTACAGCAGAAATTAACACAACATTGTAAATATACTTCAATGAAAGAAAGAGAGAGAAAGAAAGGAAGGAAGGGAGAAAGGAAGGAAGGAAGGAAGGAAGGAAGGGGGAGGGAGAGAAAGAAAGTGGGTTCTTGTCTGGGCCCTGCCACTTTCTAGCTGTGTGACTCTTGGAAGGTCTCTTTCTCTTTGTAAACCTCAGTTTTCTCATATGTAAAATGGGTATCACAATGATATTATAGGATGAGCCGCAGCCCACGTCTGGCAATGCTCTGTATGTCACTGTACAAATATGAACTGCTCTGAAGCAAGTTATGTCCAGAGGTGTCAGTGGAGCTGCGGAAGTTTAGACAACTGGTCGGCGCTAAGGACAGGGTTGCACCTCAGCCTCCCACGCGCCGCCCAGGGCTCTCTCCTCTGTGCCAGACGCCTTTTCTCTTGCACTTGCCCTCCGTACAGGGCACGATGCGACCCTTAGTCCACTGAACCTGTGCATTTCACCTTCTCTACCAGATTAGGCGAGGGCCCTGTCTTTGATGCCTAGCCCCTATCTCAATGTCAAACAATCCACCCTTGGGGCATCTTGGCGGATGGTCCTCACCGAGCTTGGCTGGCCCACAGCTCTGCCAGCGGCCACCCAGCCCACACCACCGTGCACTCACCTGAGGAACGTAGGGTACAACTCAGCATTCACCAGGCACACCATCTGGAACGCGAGGGTGATTCCCATTCGGCCAACACAAGCTACCACGATATTCAACCAGTGCAGATCTGGAGAAGAAACACACAGAGGGCATAGAGAGCAAGTGAGGACCGTGCCCGTGGAGTTGCCGGGAGAAGCCATGATTGGAACCTTGGACTTCAGAGCTAGAAGGGCCGGAAAGATTGTCTTATCTGACCCCTCCATTGTGGATACGTAAGCTGAGTCCTGAAAGGTTTCGGGACTTGATGATGACGCATGAGGGGAGGCCCCGCTGGGCAGAGGGACGAATGTGCTTTTCGAATCTCAGCTCGGCCTCCCGTCAGTGGTGGGACCTGGCAAATGCTTTACTTCTTCTTCTTCTTCTTTTTTTTTAATCAATTAATTTGTTTATATTTTGGCTGTGTTGGGTAGTTGTGGCACGCAGGCTCAGTAGCTGTGGCTCACGGGCTTAGTTGCTCTGCGGCATGTGGGATCTTCCCGGACCAGGGATAGAACCCGTGTCCCCTGCATTGACAGGCGGATTCTTAACCACTGCACCACCAGGGAAGTCCACGATTTACTTCTTCATGCTTCAGTCTCCTCAGTTGTAAAATGGGAATAATTTTACCCAGCTTATAGGTTGTTGTGAGATTTAGAGATAATACGTTTCAGGTGTGCACCATGACCGCTCCATCAGTGTTGGCTTTTTAATTATCGTGGATACTGTGGTTGCTGGCACGGTGCCTGAAACGTAATAGGTCCTCAACAGCATGGTTCTCCCGGGCGGAAGTCCTGGGGCTGGTAGACCAGATTTCTCATCCTCAGTCTAGTGTTCATTTCCCAACACATATTTTAACCCAAACACCTTTCAGAACAGTCTGAGAACATGAGGAAAGCGAACCGTCGTCTCCTCCCAGGAGACTGCTCTCGGTTCTTGATTAGCTGGAGGTACAGGAAGCCCTCTCCTTCCTGGGGCGCCATCAAAGCATTAGGCACCATCATCCACTTCACCTGGTTGGTAGGTGTTTACCCGAACCCTAAACCACCAGTGGCTCCTGAGACAGGCCGGCTCACCAACAAAGCCTCTGGGGTCACAGAGAGCGTGTCATCTTGGCCCTTGTCCCCACGAGCCAGCTACCCATGGAAGGCATGCTTCCTTCACTCCGCCAGCATGAGGCTCCCGGGAGAGCGGACCCAGTGGCGCTAGGACCCAGATGGCCCAGGGCCATCATAGTCTCTCCAGGTCTCAGCTGCCCTCCGCCTGGTGGAGAACCCAAGCCAAGCCTTTAGTTCGGGACCACACCTCCCAGCTCCCAAAAAATAGAAGATAAAGGAATTCACTCAGATATCTAGAGGGGGGCCCTTGTCACAAATTCTGTGGCCTTTGATCGATTTGGCAAGATGCTCTACTGGACGTGCACAGCATCCCTGCCCTCAGAGAACTGCCCTGCCTCTGTCAGGGCCCGGGCCACTCTCCTCAGCGGCCAGAGGCCCAGTTAGAGCCACAGTCCCGCCGCGTGGCGGCCCTGTGCAGAACCAGGTGGTTTCCTTCCATGATCGGGATAAAATCCACACTGGCATCTCCTGCTAACCCCCGACCTCACTCTGGCTGTCCTCGCCCCCGCCTGCCCAGCCCCAGTCACAAGGGTCCCGCCGCTCCTCCTCCAGTGCCAGCTCTCCCCATCCACGGGGTCCTTGCTCTTGCTGCTCCCCTGCCTGGAAAGCTCCTTCCCCGGATGTTTACATGGCTCATCCCCACTTCATTCAGGTTTCCTAAGGCCACCTGTGACCACCAGACAAAGAATTATCTCCCCGTCTCTCTCCCTCCTTCTCCTTTTCCTCTAGAACATAAGCTCCACAAAACAGAAACTTTCTCTGCTTTGCTCACATCTGAGATCCTAGGGCCGAGGTGCCTGCTACATCAAGTGCATAGAAGGTAACTGAAATATTTTCTTGTTGCGGGGGGGTGGGTGGCAGTGAAGGTTTATCATCTAATGTGATGGGGACTAAATGGGGGCAAGCAGAGAGGGCGGGCACTGGGAGGAGGGTCCTGGGGGGGCGCAGGACAGAGGGGGTGATGCCTGAGTTCCCTCTCAGCTTAGGCATCACCTAAGGTTTATCCCCGAGGTGATAAACGGTCTCAGACCTCAGGCTCCCTCTCAGCACTCCATGCTGTTACTAAAAAATAAAAATAAAAATAAAAATCTGCCCATTCATTCCATTTTACCAGGATTCCAGAAAAAGGGAGATGGGGAGAAAATGGGTAAAATCGATTTCAGATGCACTCTGCCTCTTTTCCTGTCTTCTTTGTTCTCTCTCCACGAAAGGAGGGAGAAAAAAACTTGAGTTACATTTTTCCATCTCTTTAAATTTCCAGCCTGATCTATAGACCTGGTTCTTGAGAATACAGATTTTACAGGACGTTTCCCGTAATATCCTATCCAAAAGCCTGCCAAAACGACTCAAACCAATGAGCTCAGAGCACAAGGAATAAAAACTAAGAAAATAGAAAATCTGCCTTCGTATTTTTTTAACATTTCCAAAAGTAACAGATGAGAAAAGCAATTTATGTACTTAAATTAAAACCACCCAAATGAATCTCCTTTGGCTTATCTTGGATTGCTAAGAATTATGGAGTAAAGCACACAGGTACCAAAATGGCTGGTGTTAGAAAGGCTAGCAATACCAAGCGTTGGTGAGGATGTGCAACCGTGGGAATGCTCATGCATCACGGTGGGAGTGTAAATTGGTCCAACTGTATGGAAAGCTGTCTGGCTATATCTGCTAAAACTTACATACGTCCCCCTCGTAGCAAGGGAAATGACTGTCCACGAAAGGATGTGCCCAAATGTTCACTGCAGCCTTAATCCCAATAGGCAGACACTGGAGGCCACACAACTGTCAATCAACAGTGGCGTGGATATATAGCGGGGTATTCATACACTGGGATGCCTCACGATAAGGAAGAAGTACAAACTTCACTCTCGTGACAACGTGGACGAACCTCGTGGACATAAGGATGAGCAAATGAAGTGAGGCCATACAGAGCACGCGTGGTATGGTTCCGTTTGTATGAAGTTCAAGAACAGTCAAGGTTAACCTGCAGTGGCAGAGACCAGAGTAGTGGTGACCCGTGCAGGGGTGGTGAATACGGATGGTCAAGGAGGGTGAGGAAACCTTCCGAGACGTTGGCAATGTTCTTTATCTTTTTGTAGGTCGTGGTGCCCAGGCATACCTACATGTAAAAATTCACTGGCTTGAACACTTATAATGGGCTCATTGTACATATGTTATACCTCAACGTAAATGTTTTAAAAAATGATTCTAGACTCAGGTAATGCCTTGTCTTTGTGTCTGTTCCAGAGGCTTCTGAAAGAGTTAACACACTATTCCCACAATTCAGTGACCCGGAAGATGATGAAAGCGGACCACTCACCGTGTGAGATAAAGATCATGAGGAAGCAGGCCGCCCCCACCACCAGATTGGACCCAGCCAGCGGGCAGAGGCAGCCGAAGCGCTCGATGGTGACGAGGATGATGAAGGCCGCCGGGAATTCGACCAGAGCAGAGTAGAAGAAATCCAGATAGAGGTTCCCGCCGGTGACGCCCATGTGCATGATGAGGCCCTGGTACAGTACGGAGCTGGTGAGCCTGAGCAGGGAGGAGAGGCCGGGTCAAAGGCAAGCTCCTCGGAGGAGGGGAGATTTAGGATTCTGGCTGGGAGGATAAAGGACACCGCGAGCTGGGTGTAGAATGTTCTAGAGCGATATGAGAAGAGGGGGATCAAAATCAAGAAAGGTGCCCTTGAGGGGCCCTCGATGAGACCCTCTTTTCACAATTTACGGGAGGGTGTGACTTACAGGATAGGTTCCCGTTTTCGAGAAATGGCAAACAATGGTAGCTAGTGTTTACCGCGCACCTGGGTGCTGGCCCTGCCCTGAGCACTGCACGTGCCCTACCTCATCAGATGCTCCAACGGCCTCCAAGGGGACGGCCAGGAGAAGGCAGTGGTGAGTGAGAGTTTCAGGAATCAGACCGTTGTATGAGCTGTGTGGTCTTAAGTAAGTTAACTAACCTCTCTGTGCCTCAATTCCTTCAGCTGTGAATTTGGGTTGTCTTGAGAATTCATTGAGGTAATGGACAAAACGTGCTCAGTATAGTTCCGGGCACAGAGTGGACTCTCAGTGAAGATGAGATTTTACTGCTGTCATTGCTGTCTCTCCAAGGGCAAGGATCCAGAGCACAACAGGGTGGAGAAGTCGGCCAAGTCTTTCCAGCTCCACAGTGGTCCTCCCTCCACACATCACACCATCTTTAACAGGCATTATTCCCTTACTCTTTTTACCTCATATCCCGCTGCACGACCCCTTCATCCATATTGGAGGAAAGAATAGCAGTGTCACAGAAAATGGCACACAGACCGATGGGGACCAGCACAGTCACTCCCACTCAGGGGGGAATTCAGAGAGTCCCACGTGTCACTTTTGGTCAAACTACATAATTTTGGAACGTTGAATGATTCTATTGGTACAGTTTTCCTCACTATCCTTTGGGGATTGGTTCCAGGAGCCCCCGGGATACCAAAATCCAAGGATGCTCAAGACCCTTGTATAAATTGGCGTAGTATTTGCATAGAACTTATGCACATCCTCCCGTACACTTGAAATCACCTCTAAATAACTTATTATACCTAATATAATGTAAATGCTATGTAAATAGTTGCTAGCATGCAGCAAATTCAAGTTTTGCTTTTGGGGACTTTCTGGAATTTTTTTCAGATATTTTTGATCTGCAGTTGGTTGAATGCCCAGATGCAGAACCTGCAGATATGGAGGGTCGACTGTATTTACACTGTGAGAAGAGATTTAGGTGGATAAGAAATTATTTTCTTATAGAAATGCCAATTGCCCATCAGCTCCAAAACTGAGATCACAGCGTATGTTTCTCATTACTATACCCCCTGGTTTTATAAAGCTGCACCCAGAGAAGCATGGGATGCTTTTGTTTCTAGTCCTAAATTATTCCTGGTTGAACCAAAGGGTCAAGAATACAAGAAGAGGACTTCCCTGGTGGTCCAGTGGTTAAGAATCCGGCTTCCAAGGCAGAGGGCGCAGGTTCGATCCCTGATCAGGGAACTGAGATCCCACATGCTGCAGGGCGACTAAGCCCACGCGCCACAGCTACCGAGCCCACGTATCCTGCATGCTGTAACAAAGATCCTGTGTGCCACAACTAAGACCCGACGCAGCCAAATAAATAAATATTTTTTAAAATGTAAATTAAAAAAAAAAAAAAGAACACAAGAAGGAAGGCCCTGGCAGCAACTCAGTGAGTTAAGATGAGCTCGGTAGGGTCCTCCATGCTGGTTAGCTTAGCCGGTTAAATGGGAACGGTCACCTTTAACCCACAAAGAGACTGATCCAAGAGAAAGGAATGGAGAACCCTGAATTTTCTGTCCAAAAAGACTCCCCCAAAACAAACAAAAAACTAGCAACAGTTAACAAATGTGCAGGGCTGCCATCTTTTGGCAGGACCCACGAATTGCATGCACACATTAAAACACAAACAGCAATTTGTAGCTGTCAGGCATAAGCCCTTTATACGTATTCTCTCATTAATTCTTCCAACAGGCCTGTGAGTAGGTCCTATCATTACATCCACTGGCTGCTGAGGAAACTGAGTCACAGAGATCACGAAGCTGCCTGACAGCCACACAGCCAGGAAGTGATGGGCACCCCTCCTGATATGCTGTGATCAATGGAGTGGATGGAGGGCGGGGAGAGGGGAGGGGACAGCAGGAGAAGGGGTCCAGGGGCCAGGGCAGGTCACCACGAGGGGGTGACCCGGGCCATGACCTCTGCCTGCTTTGTGAGCAGTTCCTGGGGGGACGGGAGTGGGGGCAGACCACCAGCGAGTAGGCTGCCGCAACAACACGGACGAGAGATCACGACACTCAAAGGGGGACCTGAGAGAGCAGGTGACGGGGAATGGCAGAGTCTCAGTATATTTTCAAGACAGCAGAATCTGCCCAAGGATTGCGTGGAGGGGCGTAAGACAGCTGAGGGGACAAAACCGCCACCTTGACAGGAGTGCTTAGGGGATGGGAGTGGGCCGTGGAGTAATATAGGAGGGGAGCAAGCCTTCCTATCTGCAGAGTCCCGGGCCTCCACACCGAAGAGACATTGCTGAGTCGAAAACTGAGCATCATGAGAAATGCACCAGGCACCTGGAGTGTTTGCAGAGGCCCATCACGTAGTGGGCACAGGACTCCTGGGCCTGCCCGGAGACACAGTGACTGGGGCTGCCGGGACAGGGTCAGGTTAGCCTGGCATCTAAGGAACCTGGGATGGATTCTGTGGAACAGTGGTCATTCATTCAACCTTCAGCAAATATTTACTGAGGGTGCCAGGGGCTTCCCTCTTAGTTGGAACCCTTATCTCATGGAAGGGCACACAAGTGCAGGGCAGCAGAGCGACTCCAGTGGAAGGGAAGCCCAGGGTCCAGCTACTCAGCCCAGGCATTCGGGGAGTAACTGAATAACCTCCCTCGTGCTGACGAGAAAGCCCTGATGTCAGGAGCTGACCCAGCACCCCTTGAGGAAAGAGCACGGGGACCCCGTCTCCAGGTAGCTACCTGGGAGGTGGATGCAGCCCTGGGGGTGTGCCGGGGGTACATGGGTGAATCTGGATGTGGATGTGAGCTTCCTAACCGGGGGGTGAAAGAAAGCACTGATACTCTCATCGGGGTCTATAAAGGTCTTAGATGCGAGGAAGGGCTCTTCCTCCGTGAAAGCACCAAGAGCCACTGACATCTCATCCACCTTCTGACGCTATGTCAAGACTCGGCTACTCCCCAAAGATGAGACGTGTGGGATTTGAGGCAACCTTGAGAACCCTCCGTCCAGCTTACTGTTGACCTCTCCTATGTAAGAATTTCTTCTTACTAAAATGAGGTCCTTCCTCTACTATGCAATCCTCAAGGGAGAAATCAGGTGTCTTTTTAAGGGCTCTCTGACCACTGGAAAACCATCTGGAAATTCCTTTTCATGCTTCTCTTTTTCCACCTGAGTTGTTCCACTGTCTTTAACTTGTACCCGGGTATGCAGGTAAGCCCACCAGTTCCATCTGGGGACAGGCGTCGGAAAGGGCCCTTACCACAGGTACATCAGGATGAATGTGTGCTTCCTCAGGTGCGGCGTGCGGAACAGGTCTACAAACGAGGGGCTCAGCTTTTCAGTGACATCCTCTTTGAGAGACAGCATCTAGGAAGGAGTCAGGGCGTCAGCTGCATCCAAGCTGCCGTGAGCAGGAAACGCCATCAGGGCCCCCTTTCCCGGCCCCCGCCCCGAGGTCGGTCCTCGCATGGCTGCCCGCCACACCCATCACCCCAAATGTCACCAGTGCCCTCTTGCCTCCCAAGGCAGCCCCACAGGCATGCTCTAAGTCATAAACGCAACCCAAAGTTCAGTGACGGGAGAAACCCTCTGCTAGGCTGTCACCTTTAGATCAGCAGGAGGTAATTTCCCATTCTTCTGGGCTATGTGGTCCATTATCTTTACGGCTTGAGTGTTTCTCTTTTGCGATAACAGCCATCGGGGAGACTCGGGCACAAACCTATGGACACACATCATCACGACGTCTCATTTTCTGCGGAGCTCATCTGATGTTAAGCCCCGATCAGGGCCTCATGCTGGGACTGTGATTCCTCAAGCGTCTGGTGGACGAGCATCTGGGGCCACTGTGTGCTGGCCCAGAGAGCCCACACAGGAGTTCTGTGAGTCACTCGTGCTCTTAGTGCCACCTGCTAAGATTTACGGACCAGAAGAGAACCATCGCTTCCCATGTAGCCTTCATCTGGTGGGGCGGGGGTCCCATTCTCTCCTGGAAGCCAGCAGCCCTTCTCCCCACCCCAGGAAATCTCTCACACGTAATAGATGCTCCACACGCCCCAGCCCTTGCGATACAGCAGCTACCTCCTTGTACGACAGGGGCTGTGGGACATGTCTCGAAATATTTCCAAAACAAAATAAACTAGAGTCATTGTCTTTTAGCATCAAGTACACCATGGTGTTTATTTCAAATGGGACAGGGATGTTATAAAGTCAAAGATTGGGAATCTCTGGTCATCTGAAAACACCCAGGTGTAGTCTCACCCAGCCCGGCCATCGGGACTCAGCCAGGGGGTCCCGTCACTGGAGGGCCCCTTGTTTCACACTGACAAGGAGGAAGCAGGCTCTTCCTGAACGGGAGTGTACTTAAAGCCGCAGGTTTGAGAAGCTGGGTGGACTCGATGCCTCCCACGGAAAAGATCTGCCCTCAGCAAAACGGTGACGAAAGCTGCATGGATGCGATCGTTCTCTCCACAAACCTCTCTGCTACCACGCACCCCCCCACCGACCCCCGCTTCCCTCTCCCACAATAAAAACTCAGCTGTCTAGTTGCCCTCCCTTCACCCTGCCAAGGGCTGACAGCTAGTAAGATTAACAGCTCACTTGAACGGCTTTTGTTCATAACGGTTTAATGTGCACACTCCCCAAAGATCATTTCATCCCTTCATTCACTCGACAGACAGCAGATGCCTCCTTTGTGACTCGGTGCCCTTCTGTCTGACTCGTAGCATCCCAGCCTCTATCTTGGGGATGCGAGTTGGAAGAAGCTCTGTTTGAGGGCAGCGCCCCGGGGGAATGTGACAGAGCTCCCCAAACGGCACAGATGGCTGTAAGCCCCAGGCCTGCGGGTAGGGCCGCCCTGGCCGCCGGGAAGACGGGGTCCCCGCGAGGACACACTACCAGTAGCACAGCGGGAGGAGGAAGGTGGGCAGAGACACGGCCAGCTGGAGCCAGCGCCAGTGAGGGACAGCGTAGGCCAGCCCGGAGAGCAGCACGAGCCCCACCGTGAACGCCACCTGGTAGAGGATCGCCACCGTTCTTCTGTAGCCCAAGCCCACGAATTCTGTGACTGAAACAGGAGAAGCGTCACTGGTGGGCTCCACCGAGGAGAGAAGCCAGGGCGGCGCGCCCCCGCCTCCTCCGTGCGCCTCCGGGGCTCCTTCCCCAAACACCCTTCCGCCTCCTCCCCACGAGGCCCAGTCCTTTTGCCCCGGCTCTCCTGCAGCCGCCCCTTTTTGAAACCCCCCATCTGCCGTCTGGAGTTCTCCTTTTCTCGGGGCAGGATTCAGTCTGCCGGGCTCTCTTCCCCGGGGCCTTCCTCCCATCGGCTCCAGGCCGAGCTGGACTATTTTCCACGACCCCCGGGAGCGCTCGTTAATTTCACAACGGTCTTTGCGTGCCCGCCAGGGACCTGGCCCTGTTGTGGGTGTTTGGATGTATCGTGAGCTCAGTCGGCAGAGTCCTGCCCTCCTAAGCCCGCATTCTCGTGACAGATGGTGGACGACACACACAAGTGAGAAGTCACAGCCGGGTCATAACGCGCTGCGCGCTGTGCGGAGAGAAAAGGTAGATGGCCTGAGGGGATTCAGGCGAGTCCAGGGTGGAGGGGGTGCAGATTTTCAGAGAGCAGTGGGGTGGAGCTCGTGCATGACATTTGAGCCAAGACCTGCAACAGGTGAGGGAGTTTAGCCGAACACAGAAGGGCGAAGCGAGTTCCAGGCAGAGGAAACAGCAGCGCAGTGGCCCTGTGGACGAGGACCCCCGTCAGTGGGGCAATGCGCCCTCCTGGGGGGCCTCATAGGCTTGCCCAGAACATTGGCTTCCACTGCGGGAAACGCAGAGCCGCCGCGGCACAGGGGTGACGCGATCCCACGTCTATTAAAGGCTCACTGTGCTGCTGCCTGTAGGTGCCACGGGGAGACCACCGTGGAGGTGAGGTGACGCTGGTGTCTGGGAGCCGTGGAGACAGCAGAGGAGTGAGATGATGGGGTTCCGGAGGGATTTTGAAAGTAAAGGGGACAACAGGGCTGGGGAGGGGGGCACAGGTGGGACAGACTGGGGGATGGGGGAGCACAGTCTCCTGGGTCCTGCCACGTTGAGGGGTCGGGGAGCAGAGGAGGAGTCAATACAGGGGACTGCGCAGGAGCCGCGCGCACAGGACCAGGGGGTGTGTGGCCCACAGCAAGCGGGGACAGCCGCGGGAAGAAAGAGGCCAGGAGTAGCTGTCGCTCCACCGCGGGTAAATGGGGTTCCCGGTGGGTCTCCCTTTCTCTCTAGCCTTTGAGCTCCTTGAGGGAGGACGGGGGCCTTATCTCTCTTGGCACCCCATCTCGCCCCCTGCCTGCCAAATGGCAGCAGGTGCGCGCGCTGCAGGGAGGAGTCTGGGGCGGGCATCCCTCTAGGCTACACCTGGGGCACTTCATCTACCTCACAGCCTTGTCATTCCCATGCGGAGGATCCTGAGGCACGGAGAGGTTATGGAACTTGTCTGTAAGACCACACAGCCGGTCAGTGTAGATTTGACCTTAAAATTAATCCTCTTCACCATGGGCCAAGTAGTGCACGTTCGGCATATAGGTGGCTGGGCTCTCACTAAGTATGTGCTGAACTCACTACACGTAACCAGCGTGTTCATGGTTTCTCAAGGGAGGAATATGATTTTTCTTGGCTCTAGTGAACTATTTCTCAGGATGCCAAGCCATAGGACTTCGTTTTCAGAGATGGCAAGACATGGCAGAAATGTGGATTATCCTCACTGCTGTCTGATGTGCCCAAAAACCGGCTGAGGGGAGCACAGATGGTTCTTATACTACCTTCTTCTAAGGAAGTATTTTTCATTTTCTATTCTTACCCTTCAGAGAAAATTTGAAAAAAAAAATAGTATATAGAATTACATTGCTTTGCACTTCATTTTTAAAAATCATTATGTTTATCTCTTCTTTTACTTCCTCTATGTCTTCTCTCCTAACTGTTTAGTGTCCTTCAAACCAGTTGAGTTTGTTGTATTTACTTTGAAAGATGCTGGTTCTTTCATATTTAAAATGTTAAAATACTCTCCCACCTGTCTCCCCTTCCTGCACACCCCCATCGTTGTAACCACATCACATGTGATCTTCTTTTCCCAAACGGATTAGTTGATAGGAAACACTGATTTATTAAAGTGGTTACATAAGTGTCTCTCAAACAAAAAGAAAGAGAGCGTGCAAGAGAGAGAGAGAAGGACGCCATCCTGACAGCATGCCCAGCCCTAGTCACGCAGACAACAAATACAGCTAGAATGACCACACTTTCTCTAGACCCTGCAAACATCCTCTTTCCCAAAAAAACCCACCTCCACCTTTGGCTTCATCCCATTCTACCCCACTACCTGACTTCCGTGGCTCCTTAAAGTGTGTGGAAACCTCGGGCCAGCGCATGCTTACTCAAGGTGTAGCCAGCCGTCCAGCTGCCCTTGCTGACCAGCCCCTGCCCCAGGCGGAAGAGGAGCAGGGACGTGTAGTCTGGAGCAACGGCCGTCAGGACGCCCAAGATGGCGCTGATGAGGGTGGTGGCCAAGAGGCATACTTTACGGCCAAACCTTCAGAGGCAAGGAGACAGCGAGGTGAGGTGAGTATTGAGTATTCACAGGGACGATGGAACAGCAAGTGTCTCTCGTGGGAGACAAGACAGTTTTTCTGAGGGACCATGCAGTCCGTTGATCACTGCCCCTCCTCAAAGCCTGACCTGGTCCATCCTCAGTGAACAGCGACCAGCGGCTCTTGCGGGGTTCATTAAGCCACTCTGAAGAGGAATCCTGAGCGCTCTCAGCAACATGGCATCTCAGCCAAGGATGAGTGGCCTCCCTCACTGACTCTCCTACTTCTCAGACTCATCTCCTCTCATTACCTTTGTATTTAACAGACTGTATTATTATTAACAGGGTGCACCAGAAACCAGGCTTTTCCCCCACATAGTTAGTCTTCTCGATGGTCATACTAGCTTTTCTGGGAAAACCTCCAGTTCTAATAGTATAAATATTTTTTAATAAATTTATTTATTTTTGGCTGCGTTGGGTCTTCGTTGCTGCGTGTGGGCTTTTTCTAGGTGCTGTGAGCGAGGGCTACTCTTTGTTGCAGTGTGTGGGCGTCACATTGCAGTGGCTTCTCTTGTTGTGGAGCACGGGCTCTAGAGCACAGGCTCAGTAGTTGTGGCGCACAGGCTTAGTTGCTCCGCGGCATGTGGGATCTTCCCAGACCAGGGTTCAAACCCATGTCCCCTGTATTGGCAGGTGGATTCTTAATCACTGCACCATCAGGAAAGCCCCTAATAGGATAACTATTGAAAAGCGTTTTTCCCTTCCTTTTTCATGAATAAAATGGGCAAATTATTTGCTAAAACTTCATCCCATAATTGTGCTTTATTGATTTGATCTTTCAAATCTTATCCCACATTCTCTGGCAGTAAGGCAAGGAAGGAAGGGACCAACCTCTTATGTGGTTACATTGAACTTGCCCACACCCAGGATCTCTCCCCACCAGGCCCAGCAAGCCCTCTGCCTTTCCCTGTCATCCTCCTTCCTGGCTTCCAGCATGTCTACTTCATTTATATACTCCATGTCTTCTTGCCTCAAACTTCTATATAGAGACACTTCTTGTCTGAAGCCCACATCTTCTTACCCAAGAATGTTCAGACATAATAGTACCAGCATCCGTTTTCTCCTGTGTCTCCTCCCAAAGGCAGCCTCACCCACTGCACTTGGGTCCAGCCCTTGACTGAGCCCCTTTGGTTCCTTGCTCTCTCCATGATATTGTTCTCATCTTCCTGGACCCTTCACCTCTCCACTTCCCCATTTCCTTCACAGCCATCTTGTTTTAAAGAGTCATCTACGCAATGATCTAAAACCTATGGGATGCAGCAAAAACAGTTTTAAGAGGGGAGTTTATAGTGATACAAGCCTACCTCAGGAAACAAGAAAAATCTCAAATAAACAACCTAACCTTACACCTAAAGGAACTAGAAAAAGAAGAACAGATAAAACCCAAGTTAGTAGAAGGAAAGAAATTATAAAGATCAGAGCAGAAATAAGTGTAATAGAGACTAAGAAAACAATAGAAAAAGTCAATGAAACTAAGAGCAGGTTCTTTGAAAAGATAAACAAAATTGATAAATCTTTAGCCAGACTCATCAAGAAAAAGAGACAGAGGGCTCAAATTAATAAAATCAGAAATGAAAAAGAAGTTACAACTGATACCACAGAAATACAAAGGATCATAAGAGATTACTATGAATCATTATACACCAATAAAATGAACAACCTGGAAGAAATGGATAAACTTCTAGAAATATACAAGCTCTCAAGGCTGAATCAGGAAGAAATAGAAAATATGAACAGACCAATTACCAGTAATGAAATGGACTCAGTAATTTTTTAAAAAATTTCCCAACAAACAAAAACCCAGGACCAGACAGCTTCACAGGTGAATTCTACCAAACGTTTAAAGAAGAGTTAACACCTATCCTGTTCAAACTATTCCAGAAAATTGAAGAGAAAAGAATGCTTCCAAGCTCATTCTAAGAGGCCAGCATCACCCTGATACTGAAATCAGTCAAAGACACCATAAAAAGAGAAAATTACAGGCCAATATCACTGATGAACATAGATGCAAAAGTTTTCAACAAAATATTAGTAAACCAAATACAACAATATATTAAAAAAAAATCATACACCATGATCAAGCAGGATTTATCTCAGGGATACAAGGATGGTTCCATATCTGCAAATCAATCAATGTGATACACCACATTAACAAATTGAAGAATAAAAACCATATGATAATCTCAATAGTTACAGAAAAGGCTTTTGACAAAATTCAACCTCCATTTATAATGGAGAACTCTCCAGAAAGTAAGCATAGAGGGAACATACCTCAACATAATAAAGGCCATATATGACAAACACACAGCCAACATCATACTCAGTGGTGAAAAGCTGAAAGAAATTCCTCTAAGATCAGGAACAAGACAAGGATATCTACTCTCACCATTTTTACTCAACATGATATTGGAAGTCCTAGCCACAGCAATCAGACAAAAAAAGAAAGAAAGAAAAGAGAAAGAAAGAAAGGAAGGAAGGAAAGAAGGAAGAAAGAAAGAAAGAAAAGAAAGAAGAAAGGAATCCAACAGAAGAAGTAAAACAGTCACTGCAGAAGACATACTATATGTAGAAAATCCTAAAGATGCCGCCAAAAAGACTATTAGAACTAATCAATGAATTCAGCAGCTACAGGCTACAAAATTAATATACAGAAATCTGTTGCATTTTTATACAGTAATGACAAACTATCAGAAAGAGAAATTAAGGAAACAATCCCATTTACAGTTGCATCAAAAAAAATAAAATACCTAGGAATAAATCTAACCAAGGAAGTAAAAGATGTGTACTCAGAAAACTACAAGACATTGATGAAAACATTGAAGACAATACAAAAAAATGGAAAGATATACTGTGCTCATGGATTGGAAGAATACTTCATTCAAGGCAATCTACAGATTCAATACAGTGTATTGAATTCAATACAATACAATACCATAGAATACCAATAACATTTTTCATGTAAGTAGAACAAATAATTCTAAAATTTGTATGGAAACACAAAAGACTCCAAATAGCCAAAACCATCTTGAGAAAGAAGAACAAAGCTGGAGGTATCAGGCTCCCTGATTTCAAAATATACTACAAAGCCACTGTAATCAAAACACTATGGTACTGGCACAAAAACAGGCACATAGATCAGTGGAACAGAATAGAGAGCCCAGAAATAAGCCCACACTTATATGTCAATTAGTCTATGAAAAAGGGGACAAGAATATACAACAAGAAAAAGACAGCCTCCTCAATAACTGATGGTGGGAAAACTGGACAGCTACATGCAAAAGAATCAGACTAGACTACTTTCTCACACTATATACAAAAATAAACTCAAAATGAATTAAAGACTTAAATGTAAGACCTGAAACTACAAAACTCCTGGAAGCAAACATAGGCAGTAGGCTCTTTGACATCAGTCTTAGCAATATTTCTTGGATATGTCTCCTCAGGCAAGGAAAACAAAAGCAAAAACAAACAAATGGTACTCCATCAAACTAAAAAGCTTTTGCACAGCAAAAGAAACTATCAACAAAATGAAAAGGCTGTCTACAGAATGGAAGAAGATATTTGCAAACAATATATCTGATAAGAGGTTAATATCCAAAATATATAAAGAGCTCATACAACTCAATATCAAAAAAACAAACAACCAGATTTTAAAATGGTCAGAGGATCTGAATAGACATTGTTCCAATGAAGACATACAGATGGCCAACAAACACATGAAGAGATGCTCAACATCACTAACCATCAGGGAAATGCAAATCAAAACTACAAGATATCACCTCACACCTATCAGAATGGCTATTATCAAAAAGACAATAAATAACAAGTGTTGACAAGGATGTGGAGAAAAGGGAACCTTAGTACACTGTTGGTGGGAATGTAAATTGATGCAGCCACTATGGAAAACAGTGTGGAGTTTCTTCCAAAAATTTAAAATGGAACTACCATACAATCCAACAGTTCCACATCTGGGTATTTTTCCAAAGAAAATAAAAAAACTAATTCAAAAAGGTATCTGCACCTCTATGTTTATGGCAGCATTATTTACAATAGCCAATATATGGAAGCAACCTAAGTGTCCGTCAATCGATGAATGAATAAAGATTTGCTGTGTGTGTGTGTGTGTATATACATTATATATATATATAAAAAATAATGCAATATTACTCAGCCCTAGAAAAGAATAAATTTGTGACAACATAGATGGACGTAGAGGGTATTATGTTAAGTGAAAGTAGTCAGACAGAGAAAGACATATACCATGTGATCTCACTCATATGTGGAATTTAAGAAACAAAACAAATATATATTTTTTAAACTCATACATGAAAATTATCTACTCCTGGAAATAAATAAATAAATGCTAAAAATATTCTAATCTATTGTGACTGAAAAATTCACTCCAACTTCTTCCCACATGTTAACGTGAAATTAACATGCTTTAAGGAAATACTGGGGGGGGGGTGTGGGGAAGAGTCATCCACACACAAAAATCCACTCTCTCATCTCTCACTTACCTTCAACCTTCCACTGACACTGCCATTGCCCGCCAACTTCTACATGTGGATCTTCTCTCCATATGCCCTCTCCTAGCTTATCTCAGACATGGTTTATAGCTTTAAATACCAATTGCCGGTGACAAATCCCAAGTATGTAACTCTAGCCCAAACCTCATAATCCAGCTGCCTACTTGGCACCTCTTCTCTGTCTCACAGGCTACTCTGAACACATCTCCAATCTTACCACTTCCAAGACAGAACTCTTGCTTTGCTCCCACCCGCTTCACCCCAAAAAGCAGCAACCGAGGCTGTTCCTAACCCGTTCTGTCCCATCTCAAAAAATGGCCCCGCCCGCCTCCACCCATCTGCTAGACGCATAAACAGTGGCTTTGTCCCCCTTCCTCTCAGCCGCACACCCCAGCTATACACTCTGCGTGCAGTTTCAACCTCTGAAATCAATCCTAAATCCCCACCTGCCTCCGTCCTGCTGCCCCACAAACTCCAAAGCACTCACTGCCATGTCTTGTCTCCCTCAACTTCTGCAAAGATTCCCACTGGCCACATTCTCCCGCCATTGGCCCCTAAAGTCCATTCTCTCCACGGTGTTGATGTTGTTTAGTCGGATCGGCCTTTACGTACCTGTCTGCAATGTAGCCGGCGCCCAGAGAGCCCAGGAAGAAGCCCACATTCACACAGGACTGAAAGAGGTCCACCTTCCAAGAGTCATCGCACACCAGGTTAAACTGCGGGTCACACCGCGGTCGGAGGGGCCGAAAACACAAGACCGTTTGTAAGTCAGACTACACCTTCCATCCTCCCTCCGGACACCGTAAACGTACAACACAAAATGTGGGATCCCCCAGGTGCTTCACACCTTTTTCTCTTTACCACATTTTCATAAGACAAATTCAAGGTTTCTGGTGAATCTCAGTCAATGTCATTATATGCCTAATATCTTTATCGTGGCTTTACCCTCAATATACACTAAAGAGGCTGTTGTCAAGTGCCACTGACAGTTACCAAAAGACAGCATGGTCAAAAGGGAAGGTTTCTAAAGGAAATACAGCAAAGTAATTATCCAAAGACATAAATGTGGTAAAATAAATGTTTTCCAGAGTTGGTCAAGGCCCTTAATTAAGTGCATATTAATTATATGTTTAATTATGTAAATTCTACCAGTAATTATGTAAATTGGTCATGACTGATGGAGCTGAGTGTCAACACGAGAATCGCTGTGCAAAGACACACAGTCCCGGCGGTGGGAGCTTCTAGGGAGCAGCCTGTGTGCTACAGTGTGCAGGGAGTGGGGTGGGGGGGACCCAGGGGTGGCAGGAGACTCGGAGGGAGGGATTGAGGGGGAAAGACCTAGGCAGAGGCAGGAGCGGGTCCCCTGGGGAAGGACACTGGTGTGTGTGGGGTTCCGTCCATGCCTGGCACATGCGTGGTGATGCCCACACGCCTGGGCAAGCTGGGAGGCCCGAGTGCAGGAGCATCACCGCTTAGAGCTCAGAGGTGCAGAAAGCAGGACGGCGCCCCAGCGACGCGAGAGGGGCTGGGGGGTAGCAGCCGGGGCCCTCACCTCCCCATTCCTGGCACAGCACCAGCTGGGTGGTGTCCAGGGACACTTTGGATTCATGGTTCCGCCCCACCAGGTGACACAGTGGGGTGTGATGCAGGGAGGTCACTTAGCAACTTTGGGCCTTAGTCTCCCAGTTTCCCAGTCTGATAGGTGTGTGGTGCCCATCCTGTCACCATCACAGAGCTAGTGCAGGCACTGCAGGGACAAATCATGTGCAAATGGTTTGGTAGATAATAAACCATTTAACTTTTTCCGTGGAGGCTTTGTTACCCACCACCTTTAAAAATCTAAAGTTGCCTACACGAGCCATGCCCTTTTCCTGGTCCCGGGGATCCATCATGAGCACTGTTAAAAATAAAACACAGGTAAAACTCCTTGCTACCACTGGACTTTCAGAAACTAATACTGAGCTCGCGCTACCATCTGTCTCATGCCCAGAGCCCGCTGTCTGCTCGCAAGAGTATCTCAGATCTGAGAGACAGGATGAGATACCAGTCACTCCCATTCTCTGCCGGTCCAGGTGTTTATTCCCTTTAAAATTCAGCTGAAAACACGCCCTCGCCAGGAAGCTCCTCCTGCAGATCTTTGGCTTTCCTGCTCCCTGGTCCCTGTCAGCAGAATGCGGGGGAGGCCACTCCTGGGTGTTATCTAGCTGTCCCAGGTCTGCACCTGCAGCGCCTCTTTGCAGCCTCCGCCCACTCCGCCCAAGACGACTTTCTGTGCATTCTAGATTTCACCAAAGCCGCAGGGCACCGTTTTTTTTGCCCTGGGTTTGTTCTACTCTTTGCAGTCAGCATCTTTGTAAGATGTCCCTGCCACCCTTCCTGAAATGCCCTGGGTGCCATCCTTCCCCGGGGATGTGCAGAAGCCAGAGTGTTCACGGAGCGCAAGGAAGGGGCACCCGGCCTTCCCTGCTAACCCCGCCTTCCCTGAGGACTCTGCCCCCAGCTGCGCTGAGGATCTCGGTCTGCAGGCACCTGCAAGGCTCGGGAGCCTGCCTGGCCCTGTGCTCCCAAACCCTGCCACTGCCCCCAGACACTTTTGTGCCACCAGGAAGACAAGCCTGGCCCCTGGGGAAAGCCTGGGGCTGCACAGGGGGAGTGCAGGATGGGGTGCCCTAGGCCGGGTCACCGTCCCTGCTGGGATTTCACTGGGACCAGGCCGTGTGGTGGGAATACAACCTATAGAGCAGTATAGTATTCACCAAGCTCGCCCGAGCACAGAATCACCCAGCGTCCTCGTTAGAATACAGGTTCCCATGGATCCTGTCTCAGCAGATACAAATCGGAATCCAGGTGATCCCTGGGATCAGGCGAGGTTGGAAACGGCACATTCCTGCCCCAGATGGACCCTGACCTCCGCCCTCAGGACGAGGGGGGGAGCGGAGCCGGGTATTCAAACAGGTCTCCTCATTGTCCTCCCTTAAGCCAGTTCCAATGTCCAAGGCAAGGCCAAGTTAAAGATTATCTCTGCAGAAATGAACAACAAAGGTGAATTCTCCCCAAATTAAGCTTCAGCTTTGGATGAGAAGAGGGGGCAAAAGGGGTTTTGAGGCAGTGGGAAGGGAGAGTTAGAGGGAAGCCCACTCCTTCCGGGAGAAATTGTGCTCCCGCTGCTGACCTCAAGGCCCGCGCTCTCATGGCCCTTCATCGCCTCCAGCCGGGCCCCACCGGCCCTCACACTCCACGGGTCCCCAGATGAGCTCTACCCTACGGCCCCTCAGCTCGCCCTCCCAGGCCTCCCCAACGCTGGATCGTAGGGCAACTGGGAGCCCACAGTTGGCCAATCGTTTCTGTGTCCCCTCCTCTCCAAGTCCACGGTCCCGCTCAGGCCACCTCCTGGCCAGGCTCCCAGGCCTGCACAGACTGCCGCTGCCCTGTGTTCCAGCCTCAGTTTTCAGGAGCTCGGTTCCCCTTCCTTCCCAGCCAGAACCCTCTGGCAAATTGGCCCCCAGCCCCTGCCGGGCCTGTGTCCCTTAAATCGGTTCTTCTTTTCATTCCTGTGACAACCATGTTGGTTGACAGTCCCGCCGGGACTCATGTCTCGGCCTCCTCAGGCTCTCCCCGCCTGACGAAGCCCCCAGCCCCACGCCCACCAGCGCCTGGACCATCCCCAAGGTCCAGCGAGGACGGTCTTTGTCCTCTGCCTGACCAGCAAGCTCCCTTGTTTGGCACGAAGCCAGGGTGGCCAGATTTAGAGAAAAAAAAAAATACATGGTGCCCTGTTGAATTGGAATTTCAGATAAACAACTCTTGTTTTAGTATAAGTATGCCCCCTGCAGTGTTTGCATTCTCACCCTTGGTCGTATTTCCAGGTATTGCACGACATTTGTAGCAAATGTCGTGCAATACCTGGGACTTAATTATCCTAAAAAAGTGTTCGTTGTTGACCTGAAATTCAAATTTAACGGGCGTCCTGTATTTTATCTGGTGACGTGTATTTTATCTGGTGATCTGGTAAGGACTCAGTGCTCTGGCCTGAAGGTGAGCTGGCACCACCATTCTCCCCTGGGACTCCTCTACTGGACCCTGGATTCCAATCAATTTAACAGCTCGTTGCTGTCCGAATGTAGCACCGGCTCCCTCTCCCCTGAGCTTTGGCTCACGCTTCCCCGCCCACTCTGTTCCCCCTCCTTGCTGCTCAAAATACCACCCGAGGCTCCATTCAAATGTTACCTCCTAAGGACCTACTGTCTAGCACAGGGAACTATACTCAATATTTTGTAATAATCTTAAAGGAAAAAGAATCTGAAAAAAAATAGATATGTAGGTATGTATACCTGAATCACTTTGCTGTACACCTGAAACTAACACAACATTGTACATTAACTATACTTCAATTTTTAAAAAAATGCCACCTCCTCCTGGAAGACCCCCATGATCAGCTCAGTAGCTAAGATCCCCCTCCTTAGAGCCCACTGGCCCCTCCGCATCTCCCACACATGGTCTGGGATGCCAGTCTTATTCCCACCACTGCCATCTGTCCCTCACTCCCTGGAGACTGCAAACTCCTTAAACCTCATAGGTTTCTTCTCTGTCTCCCTCCTGGCATCACACCCAGTGCCCGAACAGAGGAAAAGCTCGGAATACGTTTACTGAATGAACAGATGGAGGAGTGAGTGGATGAATTCTTGCATCTGATCCTTTCCAAGCAGAGTATACTGCAGACACAGAGAACAATAATTCTCCGTCCTGGTCTGTTTCTAGATTCCCAGTGCCCACGCTTGTCACGGTACAACACTTTCCAAAGGGTCCGTGAAGGAAAAAAAGCCTGGTGCCTTTTTACTAAAATATTTGCAAAGAAAACGCTCAGATAACTCATTAAACTGTGCAGGCAAAGCCTTTGCCGCCATCTCCCTCCCCCGTGGGCCGTCCGTGGGACACCCAGCGTAGCTCGGCTTGTCTGGTCAACACCTTCAGGCTGACCCCTGTGAGGGCAGGGCATTATCATCGCTGGTTTACTGGTGAGGAAACTAAGGCTCAGAGAGGTTGAGTAACCTACTCAGTTTCGCTCAGCCAATCCGGGGCATGGCTGGGATTCTGTCTGACTCCAGGGCAGCTTCCACCCAGCTCAGAGGCCAGTGTGTTTAGCTGTCACGTGTCCATGGCTCTTGAATGCAGCGGGCGGGTGGGGGGGGGGGGCGGCGCTTCACAATTCTAATAGTGGGGAAACTAACCCCAGGTGAATTCTGCAGGCCTGCCGAGGAGCCAGTGGGGCAGAGAGAAGAGAAGCCCCGGTCTCCCCAGAGACCCGTGTCCAAACAACCCAGCTCAGCCCGGCTCTCGATGGTCTCTCCTCAGTTTCTTCCTTTAACACCCAGAGTCTGTGCAGGATTAAACAAGAGAAGAACCCCGAGTGCCCAGCCTGGAGCCTGCTGATGCTAGAGTTCAGTGAACACAGCCCCGCTCCCTCTTTCCTGCCGTGAAGCTTAACCTTGTAGTCTTCGTCATACATTTCCTCCCTGGTCCTGAAACCCACAGGCTCGGCCCAGTGCAGGGCCTGCGCGTACCTCGGTCACGACGGAGGAGCCAGGCGTGTCGTACACCCAGCCGTACCGACAGGGGCCCAGAGGCAGGAGGCTGCTGTTGGCGGCCAGGCCGGCCAGCGGGTCCACGCAGCCGAGGGCGCTCTGGTTCCAGTCCACCTCATAGCGGCGGCACTGGCGGGGGAAGGCCTGGCCCTCGGGCCCGGGGCCCGGCACCGTGTAGTTGAGCTCCTCGGCCAGGCTCCAGCCGCATCGATGGCTCAGCTCGGGCACCCCGGGGCTCCGGCAGCGGTGGTCCGGGGTGAAGGCCAGGAAGACGATGCCCACGTAGATGGGGGCGAAGGCGGCAGAGAGCAGGCATAGGGTCAGGAAGGCTTGCTTCTGGAACCAGCCAAACTCCCCGACCTGCTCCAGAGCGTCATCCATGGTGAGCATGGCTGAAGCACCACCCTCATAGCTCTGACCAGACCTCTTCGGCCGCGGGGCCCAGGGTCAGTGTCTCATGTGGGTTTCTGTGCAATGGGCTGGTCTGAAATCAACTTGCTGTCTAAGCGTAACAGCCCTGGAAGGCAACCAACTGGAAATAATCTTTCACCCTGCGGTACGGGTTTCAGGCAAGGGCGGGAGGATGACGGGCCAAATCGTTTGCTGGGCCAGGGAGTGCCCTGGGCTGAGGGCCTAATTCTGTCGAGTTGGAGTTCACAGAGCAAGAGCAGTGAGCAAGGGCGCCGCGAGCCTCCCCGCGCTCTCTTCCAAAGGGATTACCTTCTTTAAAACTCTTTATCATCTGGATAAACCAAAGACAGCACGTTGGCCGCCAGGCACAGCTACAGGACCTACTACTTGTGATTGGCATCTGATGCAGGGTGGAGTGAGGGTCTGGCTGGGGTGATGGGAGAGCCAAGCCCTCCAGACGGACCCGTCTCCCTACCTCCTTGTCCCAACGTAGGACGACCGTGTTCTCTGGGACCCACGTGGGACTTCACCCAGCTTCACTGCGTCCCCAGGCAGGCTCCCGGCTGCTGGACTGCACCCTGAATCCCCAGGAAAGAGGGCCAATGGGGCCGTCTGGGCACAGACCTCCATGGCCCCGGCCAGAGGTGCTGATAGAAGACCTCAAAGAGCCCCAGGCAGAAAACACCTCCCCCTCCCCCCAGCTCAGCCCAGACCTTCAGGCCACGTCCCTCCCTGTGCACACAGGAGGGACAGATAACAGATGCAGGGGCTGCCCGTGCACCGTCTCGTTCCTGGGACTCTCGCCTCTTCACTCCGTGGACAATGGGAGCTGGCCACCGGCTGGCCTGGTAATACAGCCCACCTCAGGGAACTGCAGCTCTGCAAACCACCCCCCCTCACCTGGACTGAGCGCTCACTGCTGGGGAGGGAAGGAAGAGTGCTGGGGGCAAACCTCCCCAAGGCAGGGCCTCGGCAGGCCCAGGCCAGGTGCCCGAGTTAGATAATAGAAACTATATCTTGGTCTCCCCTCACCCGCCCTGTTCCTGGCATGGGGCCCCTGAAACCCTTGACATTTCCTAGCCATAGGAGTGTCTTCCGCTCAGCGAGGTGGCCCCAGGTGTGCTCCTGGATGGCTCCTGGCCACAGGAAAGACCAAGCCGTGGTTAGAGACTTGGAACTTTCAGCCCTGCCCCCATTCTCTTGAGCGGGGAGAAGGGCTGAAACTGGGGTTCGTGCTGACGACGTGGTGAAGTGTCCATTAGAATCTCAGTAGCCAGGGTTCGGAGCGAACACACCCACACACCCCAGCCCCACGGGGACAGCAACTCCTGCACTGGGAGCCTCCCCGACCTCGCCTGTGTATCTCCTCTTCCGGCTGTCCTCTGATCCTTCACCACATCCTCTAATAAACTGGTGAACAAATCAATGTCTCCCTGTCTTCTCTGAGCCGCTCTAGCAAATCACTTGAATCCAAAGGGGGAAGAGGTCATGGGACCCTGATTTACGGCTAAGTCGGACAGAAGTGTGGGTAACCTGGGCATCTAACAGTGATTGGCATCTGAGGGGCAGGGGCAGTGTCATGGGTCCGAGCCCTTAACCTGCGGGGTCTCTCCAGGTAGATGGCGTCAGAATTGGGCTACACTGTGGGACACTCCGCTGGTATTGCAGAGAAGTGTTTGGTGTGAGGCAAACACCCCACATTTGGTGACCAAAAGTGAAGTGTCCTGTGTGAGGAGTGAAGGGGACTCCCGGGAGAAGGGAGAGCTGGGTTCTCCCTGCACTGGAGGAAGCGACTGGGTTTTTCGAACACAACCAGCCCCAAATGCACGGGCTCCCCTGACATGAGTCCTTGGCTTGGGAAGCAGCCAGGGTGCGATCCTGCCCCCAACACAACCTGGGGAGGAAGCGGGACCCTCCCTGCCCCCGCCTCCCCGGCCGGACCAACACCACTGCCCACTTTTCTCCGGGGAGAGAGCACCCTCCGGCTCTCCGTGGCCTGGGAGCTCTGTTTTCCTCTTGGACCGGAGAGCAGGGAGGCCATCCCCTTGCCCTGCATCACTCCCTCCCCCGGTCTCCCAGCCCCTGGTCCAGGCTCACATCGGGGTGGCCGGGTCCTCCTGGGCTCAGATCGCAGGGGGCAGAAGCGACCAAGGCCCGTGGGTAAGCACCAGCTGGGAAAAGCCGGTGCCACCGTCCTCACTGGCCTCTCGGGTGACGGCCAGGCTCCTCGCTGATCTTGATATTTATGTGATCTTGCGAGAACCCTCGAGTTACCCACGTGTTAGAGACAAGAAACCAAGGCCCCAGAGGTCAGTCCCTTGTCCACTGTCACGCTGCTGGCTCGAAAGCCCCAGGGCCAGTGACCAGCGACCAAGTTTCCAGGACTCTTGCGCTGCCACTCAACTTGCCCAACGGCCAGTGAAACACAGATTTCACGCAAATACGCTTCTTTTGTTCCAGGACTGTTCACCCCAGGCCTTGGGACCTCCTGAGGCCTCAGAGGTAAGAAGAGAGGCCGGGCTCCCCTCTGGGAAAACAGAGAAGGAAGAGGCGTTAGGGGCAAGCCCAGATCTGCAGGTGAAAAGCCGGCCACCAGGGCTCCCGAGGTTCAGGTGACCCTCACAGTGGTGTGATTTCACCACGACCGGGCTGACTTTCCAGAAGGGCTGTGGGAGAATGGGCCTGCCTGCCACCCTGCGATCCCGGCCCTGGAGCTCCTGACCCTGCCGCCACTGGGCATCCCCCACCCCCCGGGCTGTGCTGCGGTGGGGCGGGGACGGGGTGGGCCGCGGCTGCCCCGGCACCGAACCCCAGGGTCCGTCCTGGTGGAGCAGACCTCTCCTCTCAGCCCCTGACCCCGGCACCTTCCTCCAAAGCAGCACCGCTCAGTAAGGCCATTAGGGGACAGGTGGTAACTACACCAAGGAGCACGGAAACGGCCAGAAGCGTGGGAGCAGCACGGGAGGCCGCCGTGAGGCTCCAGCCTGGCCATCAAAGGCCCAGCCTTTCTTAGGGGCACGGACTGTCCCACACACCCCAGGCTCCTCCCCAAAGCCAGCGGCCAGCTCCGATGGTTCTGCTTTGCCTGCACCCAAGCCACTGACACAGAAAGCTGCCAGGCAGGATGCTCTCACCCAGGCCTCAATCAGAGGACAAAGCAGAGGCGTCCTCGGCCTCCACCTTGTCCTCACCTGTCCTAGGACAGAGGCAGCAGAAGCCGGCCATTATTACATCCCTACTTACCCTCCCCACCTCCAGAGCTCAGAGGGCCGAGCGCGCACAGATGCCACCACTGAGGCTGGGGTTCCTGGGACGTGGGCTAGCCCACGAGTGCAGACAGGAGCCAGTTCGGTTCTATTTCTGATGAGGCTCCAACATTCCAGGGCGGGGTAGCCTCGAGACACTGTGTGGAAGCCTTGTCCAAGGGAAGCCGCTCAGCCCTCAGCTACCCACCGCCCTGTCCCCGCAAAGGGACCCACTCACTCACCCACTGCACAAAGTAGAGCGCCTACTGTCTGCCAGGCTCTGCTCTGGGCACTGAGGACGCAGCAGTGAACGAAGAAACAAACATCTCAGAGCAGAGGTCTGTACTCAGCGAGGGACATGCTAGACTGTATCATAGTAGGTGGGAAGAGCGACGGAGAAGATCTTGAGCAGGAAGGTGCGGGCTGTGACCACAGAGCCAGTGGTCAGGGATGACCTCTCAGAGGTGATGTGAGCCTTGAGGGAGGGAGGAGGGCGAGCCCTGCGGATGGAGGAAGAGTGTTGCAGAAATAGGGGCCGGCAAGAGCAGGGGCCCGGCGGGCTTAGCGAGGAGGCCAGCAGGACTGCCGGAGAGCCAGCGTAGGGAGCAAAAGGACAGACGCCGGAGGGGCCACGGGCCAGGGCACAGGGCTCTGCAGGCCCCGCCGGGACTGGGGCTTTACCCTGTGGGCCCCCGGAGACAGTCTGAGCCTGAGCAAGAGGCCGGGATGGAAAGAAGCAAACTCAGGATATGATTGAAGGTAGAAAGGAAAGGATTTGCTGACGGACTGGGTGTGGGTATGAGAGCAAGGGAGGGGTCCAGAGGCACCAAGGCGTTTGGCCTGAGCATCTGGAAGGACTGGCTTGCCCTTAACCGAGGGGACTAGTCTGGGGGCTGCTGTGAACCGGGCCACGTCCAAAGAGCGTGTGGACAGCGCATGGGAGAGGGGCTTTGGAGTCAGCGAGCCCGTTCAAAGCCTGCCTCCGTCAGCACCAAGCTGTACGCTATTCATCTTCTAAGCCTTAATCCTGACGACTGCACCTGCCCCACCCCATGGCGCGGCTATGCGGATCAGAAAGCCTGGGGCGGGAGGTAAGCTTTTCTGTAAAGGGACCCGTGGTAAATGCCTGGGCGTAGTGGCCTTTCTGGGCCGTCTGGTCTCTGCAGCTGCTCCCCTTCAGTCCAAGTGCTAACGCAGCCCTGGATGAGACGTAAATGAACACGTGCACCCAGCTCCCCATAGAGCTTCATTTCGGCACATGGAAATTTTAGTTTCATCCAATTCTCATGTGTCACGTAATCTTCTTCTTCTTTTAATTTTTTTCGACCATTTAAAAACATAAACCCCATGCTTAGCTTGTGGGCCGAACCAACTCAGGTGGGACACAGCAGATGGACTTAAAGCTCAGGCCTTGGGTCGGGGTGAGCTGTTGTTATGACAGCAGGGGAGAGAGTCCGATGACTCCTCCTGGCTGTGCACAAATGCAGAACTTCCCCCTCTTGGATGACATGCATTTCCCAGACTGGTCTCTGGTGAAAATCCAAAACAGAAAAAAAGAAGAGACAGTTAAGGGAATTCCCTGGCGGTCCAGTGGTTAGGACTCCTTGATTCCATTGCAGGGGGCATGGGTTCAATCCCTGGTCAGGGAACTAAGATCCCGCATGCCATGGGGCCAAAAAAAAAAAAATTTAATTTAATTTAAAAAAGAAAAGACAGTTAAAGGAAGAGACTCAGGACCATGGGACTCAGAAACACTCTATTTTGCTGACAACTGCCAAGCTCCACTGTGCCCAGCAGATAGAAAGCATTCAAGAAACAGTTCTTACATTTATGACTGGATCTA